TATATATATATATATATATATATATATATATATACACACACACAAAAACAAACACACACAAAGACGGCTAAATGAAATGATGCTTACTTTCTGGTTTTTCATCTCAACGACTGTTTCATTCTCATCATAGAAACCAAAATGACTGAAAAGCAAGAAAACGAGGCATCACAAAAAAAATCTGTTTTCAAAGAAGAACAAATAAAAATTATGTTTCAAGCTTCTATGAATCTGAGTTAAAGGTGACAAAACTGACAAGTCAATTAACCAACCTTGACTGCCATGGTCTGATGACTCCATCATCAGCACCACCAATCAGCACCAGCTTCTTAATGCGCAAGAAGTTTTGTTTCCAAGCTGCGCAAAGAAAATACTACATCAAAAACCAGCAATAAACACTTTTTCCTTGAAAAAAAAGGAAGCAAGCTCTGGCACTCAAAGCCAAAGAAATCACAATCATCACCTTCTTACAGAAAATAGACTTTGAACTTTTGGACATTTTTTTCCTTAGTTTTTTTTTTTTTTATATATATTTTTGCCTGTGTTATTGCCAGCTGCATAAATGTTGGCACAGGTGTGTATTTTTATTGGAATTTTACTATTTCACCCTCATTTCCTTAAATAAATCTATTTTGCACTAGGTACACAAAATAGTTCCTCTCAGGACCTTAAGGACAAAAACTGTCCTTAAACCCATTAAAACTGCTATTTTTAATCGCAGTGCCATTTAACTGTAAAATGATGCAATTTTTGTTAATAGGCTGTTATTCTGTTGGCAAGGCTTCAAAATTAAATTTTTTGCCAGATGGTGCCATTTTTTTCAGGTTTGGCCTATAAAGCATATACTCACTTTATTCCTGTTTTCTGCTTCTGCATATTATAGAGCCAATTGGATAAATAATGCAGCTATAATTGTGTGGGTGTGTTGGTATGGATGTCAGAGTGTGGTTTGTATGTGTGTCATAAAAAAATGTGTGTGTCATGTTTCATAAAATATATATTTTATATAAAATATTGTTAACTAATTTTCATAAATTTAAACCTCTATAACCTTTTTTTTTTTGTTTCACTTTTTAAACTTTTTTTTACTTCAACTATAATCTGCCATGGGTATTCTTTAAAATGAGACCAATCTTAAGTCTGTGCTCCCAAGCTTCACATTTTTATGACAGTTTTTTGACATGGACATTTTTGTCCACTATGGACCTATGTGTAACTTTTTTTAATTGACGCACAAGGGTTAAGAAAGCAGGTAATGTGATCTGTTGCCTCACCAGTAGAATTGGGATTTGCTTTTTCATTGTCCAGTAAAGCCAGATAGTCACTGCTGTTGATGTACATGTCTCTGTGATGAGGGTCTGAAGAAAAAAACCCACAAACATCGCCGCATGTCTCATGCCATAAAGAAATACAAGACCTTTTAATAATGGCATTATTGTAAGAAAAATATATCCAGTCAATGAATGATCAGGGCTACAGTGTTTCAGCACGTTGTTATTCGGTTGATATGGTGCTCTGGGTGGTTGCTTACCGGCCTGATCAAAAGAGCAAACTCTATAGCCACTTTTCCGCTGTCGGGCCGAACGGTTCTAAGAACAGTAAGGAATGGTTACAGTTATATTTCCACTTGAGCTTGGTTCGGCACAGCATGATTGCAAACTGTTCTCGGCCTGGAATTCTTACAGTTACATTACAGTTAGCTAACCGTGCTGCTAGAATGCGTGTAGTGATGGTGCCGCTCACTCGTTTGTTGTCTGGCTACTTCAGTTTTCCCCCCAGTGGAAAACTGCAACCATATATTTGAACCAGCTGGGCTGGATCAGCAACGGTTAAGCAACGGTTAAGCAACGGTTTGGCCCAACGGTGGAAAAGTGCCCTATATGGCTCTGTGATGCTCTGGTTTCTAGATATGCCTCTGGTCTCTAGTTCACCCAAAAAAAAAATTCTGTCATCATTTACTCACCCTCATGTCTTTCTAAAGATGTATGAATTCAGGGATTAAAGCCAAAAAAATAAAATAAATAATTTGCACAAACCCACTTTTTCAGGCTACGTCATATTCCTTTAACCATCACTATACTTAAATACTCGAGACCAACAAAAGATGTTTATGAACAGATATTCTATTTTCAATTTGCATAGTTTTGAAGCTGTTTCAATTTAAAGTTCAAATTGCTACTATACTTTTAAAATACTTTTTAGTCATACACAATCAACCATCTACAAAACTTCTCCGTTTTTGTTTTTGTTTTTTTGTAATGGCAAACAATGTTTTATTTGAAGTGAACTTCTTAACACTTAAAGAACAAAATATGCAATTCTTGTACACAAGTCTCAACAATGCTTTCCACTTTCTCTGACTACTATTCCTGGAGCTTGGCTACACCTGATTCCACTTGTTAATCATTATGGTCAGTTATTACCCTTGATTTTATAATGATGATTATTAAGGATGGTTAACAGTGTACATTTTGTATGCATTACATGTCATTCATGTAGGCTTCACAAACAAAATAAGTTGAAAATTATTTATGAAATAGTTTTTGTTTTTTTCATGCATTAGAAAATCAAGACTTGATTGAACAAAATGGTTATTCAAACTGGAAACACATTATATACAGAAAGCGACCAAAGACTGTTCCCCATCACTGAAGCATCAATTACTTCAGTTCAGCACGAGTTCTGCACATTTGCAAAAACTCACAATTTGTTGTTTATGATGAAAAAATTAGCAAGAGTGCAGAATTCACCGGTAACTAATCTAAATGCCTCCGATTGTTCATTGCATTCATACACTCACAAACGTAAGTCATGTGTTGTACTGCTCAACACTGCAAACAACTATGTGTAAAAAATATTTGATACAACATGAGCAGATCTAAATGTAATGCTGCAATCGACACTTTATCAATATTAATCATGACAATGGTAACTGATTTAGTTTAATTGTGCAGGAACATTTTTTTTTGTCCCTGTATCTTGAATCTTTGCCCCAATGGTTTGGGTACCAGCATTCTTCAAAATATCTTCTTTTGTGTTCCACATACAGGGTTGAAACCACATGAGGATGAGTCACTGATGACAGAATTCTAATTTTAGGGTGAACAATCTCTTTAAAATCACTCACTTAGAAAAGCACACCTGACCTCAACATGCTGCATGTTAAAACAAATGATGAGGGTCAGTTATGAACTAGAGTTTTCTACGGTTTTGCTCAAATCAGTATGAACAATAGTAACAGTGATGCAAGCACCATTAATAATGTAACATGAAAGTGAATTGATGTATGTGTCTATTTTCTGATCCATTCATCCATTCATCCACTCACCGTTCCAGTAATTACAGATTGATATTTTCTGGCCCACTGCAGTATAGCACACATGATACAAGTTGGATTTGACAAACTGAGGGAAGAGGTACTTCAGATAGTCTGTGTCTACAAAAGAAGAGCAAATATTAAACTTCTAAAACATAAGCAAAACCAGAAACATTTCTTTCCAAAGAAGTCAAAATGTCCAAATATGGAACGGTTTCACATGACCCTCAATGACTCGAAGCATTTCAATTTTTAACCAGGTCAGTGTTTCTCAGCAAAACTGAAGAAAGTGTGTTACCTCCATACTGCCCCGCCTGCGGAGAAGACAGAGATATGAAAGAGTGCACATTGTGGTCTGGAAGAGTGGACAGGATTCCTCGACACACCAGGCCACCTGCAACAGATTCAGACATGCCCTCACTTTAATGTTTATATAAGCTAAGGTGACAACATATATTTCTACTTAAAACATATTTTTAATATATATATATTTTTTTTTTCCCATTAATGCAATATTTAAGATTAAAACAGAGAAAAGGCATTTAAAATCCAATGCAAAGTGCTACCTGGACAGAAAAATGATATCCATATGCAATGCCATGGTGTAACCACTAGAGGCCTGTATAGCTCTCTGCATAAATATATGTGCATTTACAGGGCTGTGTGTCTATTTTACACTCAAAATGGTTCAGAATTTCACCCCCATCACTGTTCACATAGCAAGTAGCACAAAAGTCACCAAGTTTCATACCATTACAATTAAGATGGTTAAGAAGAAAAGTTTGTTAAGAGCTAAAATATAAAGGGAGATTAAGATATCTTCAGTACTTCTTGAGTTACAGGCATGCAGACTTGAGGAAAAAACAACTTTTCTTTCCCATTTTTGAATTGTCACCCTATAATGCAACAAATACCTAATAGACCCAATCTCTGTGTAAAAATAACATGATGCCGCCATCTGTCTAAGGTGTTGTTTTTATCCTCCTGTGATCTTAGCTCCAAATTTTGGGTGAAAATTATAAAATCACGCAGTTCTTTCTCCAGAAAAATATAAACAAAATGAAACATTTGAGCCAGGAACCTCTGGTTTAGTTGACCCATTTCTGGTCCTGCCTACCGTTTAATATAGCTCTTCCAGCCGTGCTTAAACCTCAGCACAGCAACAGATAAAATAGGTCAAAAAGTGTTTTTATCGCTGCACACAGCAAACCACAGCGTAATGCTTTTATGTTGCAAAGCAACAGCCTCTAGCCATGCTTGTATTCACAATATAGCACACGGCTCCACACACTACTGCGTTGGCTACAAACCTTGTGAGTAGCAGATGAGGTGGACACCATCGGCTGCGTTCTGCATGATGGGATATATGGCTTCTGTAAAGCCCTCCACCTGCTTCCAGAGCGGCTGCAAGCTGGCGCTGTGGTCAAACGTGTCTAGGACAGTCACATTAGTGCCCGGGTGAGACTGTCACCAGACAATCACACACACAAATCAATTACATATGAACAGACAACAAACTGTCCTCTGCAACATTTTCAATGCATGGGTTTGTAGTTGTTTGGCTCTCTGCATGATTGGATATATGGCTTCTGTAAAGCCCTCCACCTGCTTCCATAGCGGCTGCAAGCTGGCGCTGTGGTCAAACGTGTCTAGGACAGTCACATTAGTGCCCGGGTGAGACTGTCACCAGACAATCACACACACAAATCAATTACATATGAACAGACAACAAACTGTCCTCTGCAACATTTTCAATGCATGGGTTTGTAGTTGTTTGGCTCATGTCACGTGTAATTTCCAGAGTCACGAGGAACTACAACAACAAAACATCTTTCTATAGCAATAAATGACCTATATTATTTCATTTCAGTAAATAACATTTTAATAATTTTAAATAATAAATGATAAAATTATTTTGTTGATAATTGATAAACCACATATCCTTAGACATATCTTTGAGTTCCATGTATTGTACGTTTAATATGACAGTTATCCTGTTAGATAAAACGTTAGGTAGACCATGAAAACGACAGTTATACCATTTTTTACTCTCACTGTACCATGGTACCATCACAAGGCTTTTTGTCCTTAATAAAAGTCTCTATTGTGTGGAGCTATTGTCTGTATATTGACCCTGTGCAAATGTACAGATTCGATACTCTTCAGCAGCTCGAAACAGGTAAACCAGAGTAAACGATAGGAAACACATAGATCAGATGAATGGTTTACCAGGTTGATGAATCGGTGAAGGTTGATAAAATCAGCAGAGCTGTCAAAGAGCCCGTGAACGATGATCACCGGTTTATACGCGACACACACACACAACACACACACCGCAACCAGCGACCACACACACACACACAC